TAGGGGTTTAGGGTTTAGGGCCCTCACGCTCACGAACCTCAGCAAAGCATTCGGGTGCCTGAGACTTAAGTCCGCGCTTCCTGACATCCGGCCCCGACGCTGCTTTGCCCTTAATCAGAAGCCTTGAACCAATCGCAGTTTAGGTTTTAACCCTAAGCCTTTTCGTCTGGGCTGTGTGTTCCAAATCGTGGCTGTTGTTTGCATCTTCTGTTCGGGTAGGCCTGATACGAAACGGATCCCGAATGCATGCACAAGGACCGTTTGTCATCGTACGTGTGTGCATGCACGCGTACATATATATATATATATATNNATTTATTTATATTTATATTTATTTATTTATACATACATACATACATACATACGTACATACATACATACATACATACATACATACATGCATACATATGTACATATGTACATATTGTCATATGTATATAAATATGTGTATATATATATATATGTACATATACATGTACAGAAAGCGTCGCTCTCTGTCTCTCTCTCTCTCTCCCTCTCTCTCTCTATATTCTATATATATATATATATACATATTATGCATGCATGCATGCATGCCTGGGTGGGTGGCTGGCTGGATGCATGGACGGAAGGAGGGAGGGAGGAATGGATGGATGTGTCATTTCTATGTGCTTTATGTCTTTATGTATGTGTATGTATGCATATGAATATGATGTATGATTTACGATTTTTGTGTATGGGGCATGCATATGTATCTGAATATGTGACGTAGACATGTATACGTGTTTGTATGTGCATATGTGTATGCGTATGCGTATGTCTATGCGTACGTGTATGTGTATGTGTAGGCATTCGTACACGTATACATACGCGTATACATATGCGTACATATGTATGTGTATGTGTATAGGTAAATCGGTAAATATGTAGAAATAGAAGCAAGCTTAAACACACTCACACATGTGTATGTATAGGTAAGATGTGTATATGTATATATATATATATATACTTTTATTTATTTATTTATTGTACATGTATTTGTTTATACATATGTATATATGTATGTATATATATATATATGTATATACACATGTATATGTACGTGTGTGTGTGTGTGCGCGCAAGATTCCCGCTGTTATCCATAAGAAACGAAATCTGACATTAAGCCACCAACAAACCTTGTAAACATACTCCAGTGAAACAAGCGGGACGCCCAAGGCAGAAAACTTGCATTGAAACCTTACCAACCCTTTCAAGACCGGCATTTAAAAAGTAAAAAGGCCTGGCACAAACCCTTGAAGGAACTTACTGCGACTCGTATGACGCTTCTGCGTTCCTCTCCCGCACAGGACGGAAAGAGACAGCTGTCTCCACATTCAGGCAGGTTGGTGTCCCTAAGCCCTAGACCCTAAATCTTCGCCGGAGTGGATTGGGAAGCAAAGGGGCCCCAAAAAAGATTAACTCGTGATTTACGCATTAGGGTTTGGCAGTTGGGAAGCCGAGGGTTATCCAATCAAAGTCAAAGGCATCCCGAAAC